AGGCACTCAGCTGAATCAAGTGAGACTCAGATGGGTGAGGGACTTTTACATGGTTATTTCTCGTGTAACCTCCCACAAGTGAAAAACAAAGAAATACTCTTGAGTTAGTTTCATTTTAAAGTTTTTTATTACCTTGGGTTTATGTCTAAAATGTGTGCCCCACCCAAAATCGTTCCCTTTCCTGGCGCAGACCCAACCAGAACTGCTGAGAGCGCAGATTTACCTATGAAAGCAAGGTCCACAAGGGGTGGAAGGGGGAGGACTTGCGTTTTGAACTGCTGAGCAAGCAGTTTGTCTTAGGTTGCAGTGAGGCAGGAAAAGCCAGTGCTCCTAAGAACCACCACTTTGTAGAACTGGAAGTTAAAGGGAGCTGACCAGCAGACAGCCTAGGCTGTATGGTTGCCACAGGTCCTCTCAATGAATAGAAGAGGAGGAAATGTAGCAATGAAGAAATAGATTGAGTTTAATTGGACATGTTCCACTGACACCAGCCGACCGAGCCCATGGGACTAGACTGGAGAGAGAGAAGGGGTTGGTTGAAGAGCAGTGATGTGTGTGGACTTCCAAAATGAGAGCTAGTACTCATTGACGGAGCCTAAGCAGGCTAGAGAGGAAGTGACAAGAAGCTGATGAAATGAAGAGGGATGTTTGGCACTGGGTGCTGGTGTGAATTGCTGCAATTTAATGACTTTTCTCCGGACTGGACTTTGCTTATATGCTCCAAGTTTCAACAAGTACAGGAGATTGTTCAGATCCAGAAGCATGCTTGTCTCCCCACACTACTAGTTTGACAGGGCTGGGCAGTTTAGAGATTGGCTATGAAAAATGGGAGCACATAAAGGCATGAAGTACTGGCTTACACAATTCAGGTGTATGCTTACACAAACTGAGTGGGAAAGGGAGACTCCCCACTGAGCAGATTGCTCTTTTCCTGGTGGGTCTGTGGAAGAGCAGGTGAGGAAATAGGCTGGTAGGATTATATGATTTGATGGGTTGATTGTTAACAGGGTTAAGTATATAATTGTAGAAACTGTAAGTGAAGAGTGAGCTAAAGGGGAGACAGTACTCCAGACTGCAGTGGAGTGGCTGAACCTTAGTCCCTTAAAGACTTTTGCTTTGCTGATATCTCTTGACGCTCAGAGCAGATTGCCTCAGTTAAATTCTTTTATCAGACTCTAGGAAGGGTGGCACCAAGGCAACTTTTGGAGGATGCAACCTGATCAGATGACCTGAACATCCTCGTCCTGAGGACTCTTCACTCTTCAACCACCACACCGAATGGGCCTTAGGGCCGGTTGTGTAACTGAAGGGTAAATTACAGAAACATCAGAGAAGGCATGCAAGGGCACACCTCTTCCAGGATGATCGGAACCAGAGAGTTGGGGCACATGTATTCTCAAGTTTATATAATCTAGGGCATGAGAGCCACATCATACACATACATGTAACAGGAAGGGGACATGCTAGGGGCATACCTGTGGTACACACACAGAACAAGATGGGTGGGTTCTAGAGTTAAGATGGCGGACCAGCCTTGGTCCTGGCTGAGTTGGCTTGACAGTTGGTGTCCCTGAGTTCTTCTCCTGGGGAACACTCTATGATCTTTATCAGAAGGGAGTGGGCCCTACTTAGGGTGGGACAGACGAATAGGGTCTGATTGTTATTGATGGCAGACACCTTCAGGCAGGTCACCTTCAAGTGTATATAGTAGCAACCATGTGCTCTCCAGCTCAGCTCAGGAGCATGAAGACCTCCCTCTACCAGCATTCTGGCCTCCCAGGCTTCTTAAATATGAGCATAGAGAATCTGTCTGCATACGCTCTTCCTGATTCTCAGTTTCCCATATTCACCCTAGTGAATTAGCAGTCAGTTGTTAATGATTGTTTTGAGATAGAGAAGTTATCCAAGGATGAAGTGTAGTGGATCACTTTTATCTGGTCTTATCAGCCATGGTATGCAATGTCCTTCAAGTGACTGGGTGGGATTATGCAAACAAGTATTTGTCGCCTACCAGCAGGATTGGACTGCTGGCTGTTCATGGTACTCTTGTAGGGGTGGAGCCATGCAAATACGATATATGAAACTCTAATGAGCAGATTGGTCAGTTTTGCCATCCCACTCCCAGTGGCAGAAAGGGGAACATGACTACCACTAAGAAGAAGAGTCAAGGGTAGAGTATAACCTTTGGAACTGGTTCCCTGTGTTGAAAACTTCATAGACCCAGGAGCAGGGGAGAGAGTTACAAAGCTGTAACAGCAGAACCAGGGGTTTGGCATAAGATAGTGTAAAATGCTATGCTGAGCTGAGCACCTTTGGACCTAGACTTGACTGGGAGAGTGGCGTGCCTCCGGGCACTTATTGACAGAGCTAAATTTCTTTGTAACACTTGCCCGAATAGGGCAAAGTCACTGCTAAGGGGCCAAAGGCCAGAGAGAGGCCTGCCTAGAGGCAAAACTGAGAAGAGGTTGCCCTGATCCAATACCCTGATTCTGAATACTTGATACTACCCTAGTAAAGCCCACCTCTAAATATTTTAGTGAGTTCCACAGAGCCATTGCAACAAACAAATTATCAAGTCCAGCAGAGAAGGGGAGAGTGCTGTGGGAGGAATGACTCGTGTCAGGATTGGTTAAAAGGTTGGAGAAAAAAAAAAGGTTGGAGAGAGGAAGCAGCATGCCTTATCTTCACCAAGCAGGGATTACGGTAGCTTTAGGCTGGTGAACCCCTCTCCCCCTCATGAAGTTAAGAGGGCTAGTGCCACTGCCCTAGTACGGTTGCCATGTTAAAAGGATGTTCCTTTGGGCATTTGTAGAGGTCTAAATAAAGCCATGTACATATGCAAATATATTTATGTATGAGGATGGGGAAATAGATCTATGTGCATATATTTTTAGGTTTAGTATTAAGGTAGCAGAAGGACATTGGGCCTCCACTCAAGTACTCCCTCAATGC